AGGGGAGTGTGCAGCGGGACTTGGGTGTCCTTGTACACCAGTTGCTGAAGGTAAGCACGCAGGCGCAGCAGGCAGTGAAGAAGGCAAAAGGTATGTTGGCCTTCACTGCGAGAGATTTCGAGTACAGGAGCAGGGATGTGTTGTTGCAGTTGTACAGGACCTTGGTGATGCCATACCTGGAATATTGTGTGCAGTTTGGGTCTCCTTTTCCGAGGAAGGATGCTCTTGCTCTCGAGGGAGTGCAGGGAATGTTTACCAGGCTGATTCCGGGAATGACGGGACTAACATATGAGGAAAGATTGGCTAGGTTGGGATTGTTTTTGCTAGAGTTCAGGCAAATGAAGGGGGATTTCATCGGGACTTAAAATTCTAACAGGCCTGTACAGTGTAGATGCAGGGAGGATGTTCCTGATGGTGGGTGTGTCCAGAACAGGGGTCACAGCCTTGAGGTTTTGGGGTAGACGATTTAGGACAGAGATGAGGAGGCATTTCTTCACCCAAAGAGTGCTGAGCCTGTGGAATTCATTACCACAGGAAGTAGTTGATGCCAAAATATTGAATGTATTCAAGAGGCGTCTAGATACAGCACTTGGGGCGAATGGGATCTAAGGTTATGGGGAGAAAGTAGAATTAGGCTATTGAGTTAGATGATCAGCTATGATTTGTGAAGAATGGCAGAGCAGGTGCATGATTTCCTCCTACTGGTATCTTTTCTACGTTTCTAGCTCCCTGCAAGAGTGAGTCCCAGTCCTGCTAAAATATAACCTGTCCAGCTGCCACAGGTCCTACCTGTCCCAGAACTGCTCCCAGTGCCTCCAAAATCAGTTCTCCAGCCTCATGTTCAATTGTTTAATCTTTCTGTTCTAATTCTTATTAGCACATGGCATTGGGACTAATCCTGTCACTACTGCTCTTTGATGACCTGCTTTTGAATTTCCTTCCTAACCCATTGAAATCTGCTGTTGTGACCTCATCCCTGTTCTTACCTTTGTTGTTGGTCCAATGTGGCTCATGAATTCTGGATGATCCTGCTGCCCCAAAGGATGTCCTGCAGTTGTTTCTTGTTATCCTTAACACCAGCATCAGGGAAGTAACATACCATCCTGGATTCACGTTTCCTGCTGCAGAAAAGCTTGTCTGATTCTCTGACTTTGAAGCTCCCTATTGCTATTCCTCTTCCATTCTTCTTTCTCCCCTCCTGTGCAGCTGAGATGCCCACTAACCTCTCTGTGGCCGCATTTCCCTGGGGAGCTATTGCCTTCTCTAGTTTCCAAAATGGAATATTGATTGTCAAGCATAGACTGAGGAGACTCCTGCACTACCTGTCTGGTAGTTATACATTCCCCCTCTGCTTGTGCTCATCCAATCTGCAGTGTGACCACTTCTGTATATATGCTGTCCATGTAATCCTCTGCCTCTTGAATGAACAACAGTACTTGAGCTGCTGCTTTAGTTCAGAGCTCAAGCTTGAGCAGCCGTGACACTTTCCGAAGATGCGTTTTGTCTAGGATGCTTGCATCATAATTTTATCATGCTACTTGAGCCAATTGACTTGGCACCCATGACTCTGAGCTGTTTATTCCCCTAGAAGAAGTAGAAATAAGTAGATATAGTGGTTGTAGAGGCAATCCAGAGAAGGTTCGCTGTTTTGGTTCTGGGGTATGGGTAGATTTTCTGATGAGGATTGTGTAAGTTGGGACTGTATCTTGTCGGTGGGCCTGTTACATTGGAGTTTAGAACAGCGAAGGATGACCTTAATGTTTTTAGGGGGCTTGAACAGGGTCGATGTGGCAGTGTTGTTTGCTGTTGTCGGTGAGTCTCGGACCATAAGGGCATAATCTGAATAATGGGTTACCATATTGAAACTGATGAGATTTGTTCTCCTGAGGGTAATGAATTTGTGGAATTGTTTACAGCAGAGGGCTGTTGAGGCTGCGTCATTAAGTACATTTACAGCTGGGATGGACACAATTTTACTCACCAATGGAATCAAGGGTTGTTGGGAAAAGGCAGCGAAGTGTGGCTGAGGATTACCAGATGAGCCATGATGTCATTGAATGGTGGAGCAGACTTGATGGACTTAAAGGCCTATTTCTGCTCATACATCTTATGGTCAGTGTGCAGTTTTTCAATAGAGATGAATCGGAATATTTGGACGGCTTGTTTGTTGCTCGCTTGGCGTACAAGTCTATCTTTATTTTTCGAAGGACTTTCCTTGGTTTCAAAGATTGACTTGTATTCTGTGATGTACATACCTAATTTGCAGTAACTATCCTTTTTTTTCATATATTGGGTTTCTCTGCCTCTAGCTAAAATTCCATTTTATTAAAATCATCTCAGTGCGTTTTTAATTTCCTTGAGGCCACATTAAAACTTCTGTTTGAATTTATTGCTTGACTGTTGGTTTGCATTGTTCTGATGTGACCTGTAAGCTTGCTTGTTTATGGCTTCATTTTTGGCAGTTTGCCAGGTTTCTTGGAGACTGATTTGAAGTTCCTATTTGTTTCTGTCACAATTGCAAATTGGGCTTGCATGTACACCTCCTCTGCTATAGTATTTTGTTTCTTTGCTGTAGGAGAGATTTTCCGATTCAGTTGGGAATTCATTGCTATGCGTTCATTTCTCTTTTGTATTCTTTCATGGAATGCAAGCATGCACAGAAAACTCGCATTTCATTTCACAAGAAATGATCCACTTTTAGAGGCGGTCAGGAGTCACATTTAAGGCAAACTAAACCTTCCCTAAATGGAGACCAGTCAACAAAGTGGCTTTTTATGACAATCAATAATTGATAGATTCATGATTGCATTGCTGAGACCAGCTTTATGTTCCAGTTATATTTTTGGGAATTGCACAACATCAAGAATACGGCCTGTGTGATTCTCTTTCTCTTCCCCGTCTCCCTCTCCTCCGTTCCACCCCTGTATCCTCGGTCACATGTAATATGCAGTTAAAATTTCAACCCTGAATACCAAGAACATTTAACATGGGATAATGGATGTTTAGTTGATGTTTTTGGCTACTACTGATCGTGTATGTTGCCGTTTTCCTTTGAATTCTTCGTCGGTTGAGGATTTGTGTTCGTCAGTTTTCTCATGAAGTTCTTTTTTTCCTTTCGCTGAGCAAGATAAAATACTCAGCCTTTAAGTGCTGCATCCTTGATTTCATCTGTTCTCTCTGTAAAAAGGAGCAACTTGAAATACAAGTTTGCTTTTGGTTCACCAGTGAAAATTATGTTTCTAGGCTTGCTACTTTTAGATGAGGTTCCATCTCCAACGTGAACATTCTCATAAAGGTGTAAATAAAAATAGATGAGTACCTTTTTGCACCACCTTCCCAGGAGGCTTGTTGCTTGTTTTCATTGTCTCTAGATGAAATGTTAGTTTAATCTCAGCTGTTTTCCATGTGGTTTGAACAGCACTTGAAATTTAGCATGCAATACTGCTCTGCAAGAATGACATGCTGTAGGTGGCCTTAACAAGCTGAAGGTGAGGCTTCTGTCCTTGAGCACCAAATCTGATTGGCTAGCTGCTCTTGCAGTCTCAGCAGTGCCAGAACACTTAATTGGGTTGAAGTATCGTCAATGTTGGAGGCCAGTCAGTTCTGTCTCTCTTAAGGTCAGGTGGGGAGGCACAAAATGGTACAGCTTTGGAGGAGAGCAGCTGTCAGAGGTAGGTTCTTTACTCGGAGAGTAGTAAGGGCGTGGAATGCCCTGCCTGCAAATGTAGTAGACTCGCCAACTTTAAGGGCATTTAAATGGTCGTTGGATAAACATATGGATGATAATGGAATAGTGTAGGTTAGATGGGCTTCAGGTTGGTTTCACAGGTCGGCGCAACATCGAGGGCCGAAGGCCCTGTACTGCGCTGTAATGTTCTATGTTCTATGTTGAGTGCAGGCTTTGTCTCTCTCAAATCTGACCAGGCAAAGAATGTAGCCCCCTTTCTGCCTTTTGACCAACTTGGGTGTAAAGTGACCGTTTGACTACCCTCCACTGTCCAACACATTACGGCAGTGTTGAAGGATTGTGCGCCTCAAGTCAGCAATAATTGGCCACTTAATGGTCTGATACATATGAAGGTTGGTGGGCGGGCTAGCTTGTGCCTTTTCCACCTCCTGGAGTATGGATCTGGATTGGGAGCAGGTGGGAAGGCAATGGGTTAGGCCCAACACCACCCCAACATAGATTTGATGTGTCTGGTGGCGGAAATGATGGATTATGATCGTTTGCATACAGAGGGTGATTGGGTCGAAACTTGTGGGAGGGAAGGGAAGGAGTGAGGGAGAATTGCAGCAAATAGGTCAGACAGAGTATCTGTAATATTGCTTCGTTCTATGCCTGTACCAGAGAACTTTTTTCTTTTCCATGGAAATTCAGATTAGAATTTTAAGGTGTTCACCCCCTTGTGTCCATGTTGGAAACCATCCAAAATGAACTGAATTTTGTCCTTTCTTGAAGGATTCTTTAGTCTTTGCTTCAGTAATCCTTTCTGCCACATTGTTTTGAGCTCCAGCAGTAATTGACAGGAAATTCTAATCAGGAGTTCTGACCGACCAATAAGCTGAAGCTCTGATTTCATCTTCCGAGATGCTGCTTGACCTGCTGAGTATTTCTAACAACATTTTTTAAGGGTCTTTCAGTTTTACCACCATCCAAGATTCGTATGTCTGATTTTGCAAGCCATCTCCTTTCAGATAACATCATGTTGTTTGCATCTCCTTGTTATTCCTTCAAAAATACATTACTTGACACTTTTCACCTTAAATTACATCTGCATGTGTTTGACTGTTTCCCCAGTTAGTCTTTCACGTTCTGAGATCTGTTGTTAGTCCAAGCTCTCTCATTAGCAAACTTTTGAAAATTAGTTATTTTGTACCCCATTCCATGTTATTAATGTATAGTAAAACAGTGTTCCCCATATTGCATTACATTTCTGACATGGAAATTGTTTGACATGTTTACTTCACCTGGTTTCTAACTTACTACTTTTCTTTTATAGGTATTGATAGCAGATATAATGAGGGGTGCAGAGAATTGGCAAATTATCTGCTCTTTGACCTGTATAACCTGACAAACATTGATTCTGATGTGACTGACTTGCCGGAAGAAGTGCTTGATGGTAACTATGTAATCTTTAATCCAATTTCACAGAGCAAATGACTGAATAATTGAACTCTCAAGGCATTCTTTTTGCATTTTTGATGTATATTTTTGTGAATATTGTGATTTAGGTGCGATAATTGTAGGTACAGCATGTCTATTAGTTTAGAAAACTTTCCACTTTGTGTACCCAATTTGGTATTTCGTTACTCGTTCTGGATGATAAGTGAAGAAGAGCCATGTTTGAGCGTTCTTAGTTTAAGATTTCTATTCAGGAGTGTGTTTTTGGAATGGCTGAAAGCTCTTAAGACTCATTTTAGCATCCTTGCAGGCAATTGACACCAACTTCATGGGTTTGATGGGCTGAATTTAAATCCTGGTCCCAAAAGTGAACAGTTTGGATCTAATATAACACAAATATAGGAGGATTTGGTAGTGCTTGAGGTAAATCAACTTATCAGCTCCCACCGTCTCTCTCTCTATATTGTTGTCTTTGTGCAGGATCTTATTGTTGATTGCTGGCATGTCAGAGTCACACTGAGGTTTGGATTAAATGGCACCAACTCTGGCAGACAACAGTGAGGTGCCTAGTACTCCGAATTCTGTTTTTCAGTTGAATTGTTAAAGTTTGTATCTGGCTCATGCTCTTGGATGGTAAAAGAAAAAAAACTGAAAGGACATTGTTGCAGACAATTGCGTTTTCTTGCAGCTGTTTGAAGGCAGAAGCTAAACCGAAGATTGATACCAGGGCCGGAAGGTGTTTCGTCTGTGTTGCAAGTGACAGGAATATGTCAATCTCAGCCTTGTGCTTTTTTTTTTTAAGGAGAGATGCAGAAGAGAAGATTGCCCTGCATCAGCATCAACATCTAGCCCTGGAAGAATAGCATCTGAAACCACTAAACTATGACACATTTTGAACGTGTGCTGGGCTGGAGCTGGCTTTAGTTGCACTGAGCGCATGAAAATTCCATTTTAAAAATGGAGCGAGAGAGAAAATGGGGAATTGTAGACTGCTTAGCCTGATGTCAGCGGTGGGGACAATGTTGGAGTTAATTATTAAGGATGTAATGACTGAGCATTTGGCAAGTGGTGACTGAGCTGGTCCAAGTCAACATGGATTCACTAAAGGTAAATGCTTGACAAATCTTCTGGAATCATTTGAGGATGTCACCAGTAGCATGGACAAAGATGAATCAGTAGATGTTGTGTATCTGGACTTTGGAAAGGTTTTTGACAAGTGTTGTGAAGTTGGGTAGAGTACTGGTGCATTGGGAGGCCATGGCCTGGTGGTGTTGTGGCTGAACTGTTAACCTCGAGACTCTGGTAATGTCCTGGGGACCTGGGTTTGAATCCTGCCATGGCAGACGGTGGAATTTGAATTCAATAAATATCTGGAATTAAGAGTCTAATCATGACTGTGAATTCATTATCAATTGTCCAGAGAAAACCTACCTGGTTCACTGATACCGTTTAGGGAAGGAAACTGCCTTTTCTACATGGTCTGACCTATGTGTGACTCCAGGGACTTAGAAAATTATAACCCTATGATGAAAGTTAGTGTTCCTGAGTGCTTGCAGCCTTCTCTCTTGCTGGTACAGATGGTAGAAAAATTCTTAAGGTTTTGCAGTGCATACTTGCAGTGTATTGTACATTGAAGCTATAATGCATCAAAGTTAAGAGATTGGATATTTGAGGCATTGGCTGGGCAGCTGACGAGGTGGCCTATTTTGTCCTGGGCACTTGAATTGCTCGAGTGTTGTTGCGGCTGACCCTTACCGTTTAAGGTAGTGGATGGTATTTATCACAGAACTAATTTGCACCTTGTAAATAGTGGAGAGGTCTTGGAGAGTCAGGACTGAGTCACATGTTGTCAGGGTTCTCGGCCTGTCATCTGCTGTAGTATATGCGGCTTGTCTAGTAGAGCTTCTGCTTATGGAAATCCCTTTGGTCATTATGGTGAAGGAATTGATATGAATATTGTGATTAAAGTTATTGGGAGGTACTTGTTTGTTAGAGCCTGGGACTGTATTCAAAATAATAATTCTACTTACGATGCCAAGTCTTGATGTTGTCTAGGTCTTGCTGCATGTGGACCCAGATTTCTTTCTTTATTTGAGGAATTGTGAGCTGAATGCTGTACAGGCATCAATTTTGATTTTGTGATGGAGGAAGACTCAGAGCAACTTAGATGCTGGGACACTGCACTATCCATTGAAGTTCCCGTTCTTTCCAATTTCAATCATGAAAGTTGAAACATACAATTAAATGTGATATTGGGAAGCCTTTCTCTTCATCTTCTGTAGCTGCTGCAAAGTTAAGAAGTTAACAAGGTTCTATTTTGCTTAAATCTGGCAACTGTGTTCTTCAACTCAATTTGACAAGTTTCTCTGCTGTGATGTGACCTTAGATTTTTGAACTCTGCAAAAGAATTGGTTCATAGTACAAAATGTGTTTTAAATTTTTCAAATATCTGTGCTTGTTGTGTTTAATTAAGATTATTCCAGTAGAAATTTAATCGGACAACTCCTGATCCAAATTTGACAACAGGAGTAAATCAAAATACTGCAGGTATTGAAAATTTGTAACAAACACGGAACATCTGGCAGAACTGGAGCCCTGAAGAAGTCATACCAGACTTGAAATGTTAGCTCTATTGCTCTTCACAAAGGGTGCTAGACCTGCTGCGTTTCTCTGTATTCTCCTCATTTGACGTCAGGAGTATCTAGTAATTCAATGACTCCCGATTGTTAATATCTCTGTGCTAACATGATATTTCCCTGAGACTGTTTTGTGATCTAGTGTTTCTACTTCACAAGATCACTGTCATTTACTGCTATCTGCCAGCCTTTGAAGTCGTCATCCAATGTTACCGTATTTGATAACTAAAGATATAGTTGTAATATATGCTTCATGTTATAACATAATTATTAATGCTTGTCCGGTGGACTTGAGCATTGTTGAAAAAAAGAGATTTTGTCAAAGCTTTCATTTTGCACACTTAGCAAGAAATCAGTTCCAGGGGAGAAATGACATTTATGCTGTAGTTACTTTTAATAAACCTATTCAGAAATGTTATTACACACTTGTGGAACAAGTGGGACTTGAACGCAGGCTTCCTGGCTCAGAGGTAGGGACATTACTGCTGCATCACGAGGAACCCCTAGCCCGAACAGTTATACTACATGAGAAGAGTGCTGATTTGAGTGGCAAAGGGGCTCTGATTGGTAGAAATGTTGTCATGGAGAATGCACTAACTAATGCTGATTGACAATTAACTGCCAGCTTTTGTTTACAATTTTGTTTTTTTTTTAGTTTTTCCCCTATTTTTCTAGTCAACCTGTTCAGAGATGTTGTTGTACACCTCTGGAGGGGGTGAGACTTGAACCCGGCATCATGGTCCAAGGGTGGGGACACTGTGACTGGGCCACAAGAGGATCCCCTTTGTTTACATTTTAAACTAGGTAGGTTTACTCTAGTCGAGGCATTGCCATGAGAAATCAAGCAAGGAATGCTGTTAGCTGTCTTGGTGGGCTGTTGAGAAACAGGTGCCGTGTATGTATGTTGTCTTTCTGTCTGCAAAGAAGAGGGCAGTGTTTATTAATGTATGTCGCTTCCAATACATGCAGTTCAGAATGTGCGTGCCAGCCAATCAGCACTACTGCCTCATCTCGTACAAATGTTAGTTTTCTTTATCTGAATTTGTATTCTTGCCACTTGTCCTGATGAGTGCAAAACAGAAATGAATAGCAAAATGTCTTTTTACAGAAATAAACATCATTCTTTAGAATTATTACAAAAAAGATTGGTTTCTCTGATTTCTCGTGCTACACCATACCAAGCTTTTATTTATATTTGTATACCTGGAAGCTCATTCAATCCCATGTACTTGCCAGTAGAGGTTTACGAAATGGTTGTTAACTTTTGACGGTTGCTAAATGTCAGCTGATCATGGTCTTTTTTTGGTAGTCCCAAATGAAATGCTGATAATGTAACAAGTTGTTATTCTATCCTTTTTCTATTTCAGATGTTATACTGTTAATCAAGCCAGAGAGCGTTCATTTGTACTGCAACCCTGTGAACTATAACTATCTTCTGCCTTATGTAGCATACTGGAGAAACCTACACTTGCACTGTTTGACTGAAAAAGAAGTAAGTTGTCAAGCTAAAGCAAAACCAAGTATTGCGGGTGCTGGAAATCTGAAACAAAACAAATTACTGGTTAAACTCAAGGTCCAGGAGCATCTGAGGAGAGAAGCAGAGTTAATGTTTTGGGTCCAGAAAGTTCTGAAGAAAGGTCACTGGACCTGAAATGTTAACTCTGCTTTCTCTCCGTAGATGTTGCCAGACCTGCTGAGTTTATCCAGCAATTTCTGTTTTTAAGTAGTAAATTTGTTAGATACCGTAATATTTTCGCTGAGCAAGTATGTAAGGTTCATCAATGTATTCTCATGTAGCAATTGTTTTTTGTGATTGATCTGGAAATCTAACTGGAAGAGGACAAATAACATTAAAATCCAACTGTATATTTTTGCTCCGTCCAGAATATATGTACAAAAAATTATACAAAATTTGTAAGTTTGTTGCTTACACATTATAGGTACTGTACTCCCTTGCTGTTGTCTTAATTTGGGTCATCTCCTCTAACACTGCATTACACCACCCTGGTTTTTGCCCTTCCTACTGGTAAGTGGCAACTGGAAAGAAGTGAGACGAGAGCTCTTGAATGAGGATAGTAATAAGTGTACTTCCCCTGTGAAGATACGTATAAAATAGATCGGAGTTGGGAGTGAGAGGGTTTTAGAAGAAAATGAAGGTGTGGAGATGAGTTTGGGTTGTAGGAACAGATATCCAGCAAAGGTGAGAATGCTTTTGTCATGTTATGGCACGGTGGTAGTGTCCCTATCTCTGAGCCAGGAGGCCCCGGTTCAAGTTTCATCTGCTCCGGAGATGTGTCATAACAACGCTGAACAAGATGATTCAAAATATATCTGCCCCGAGGAGTTAGCGGAAATATTAAGCTAACCTCTGGTAAATATCAAACAGTTCTGAATATAATATTTCTATAACCACTGATGAAATACCCGTCACAGATTAAAGAAAACATTTCCAAATCCACTCAACTGGTTTGAACACTTCAGATTTAAATTTTCTGTTTTTTAAATATTCTTTATTGGCTAGGTTTTTGTTTCTGGGCTAGTTACTGGATTTTATTAACAACCTGCAACAATAGAACATGGCTTTTCATCAAAAGAACAGCGAGCTTCAAATGCAGTAATTCAGATTTTATCAATATGCTCATAGATCACTCTGTTACTGTTACTGGTAAATTGAAATAATCACACTTTTTTAGAAAGATGAAATATGAGCATTTACTAGTCAGAGCACCCTTCAATACTCTTCAACTAAAGTGTAATTGTTGTACATTGTGGAAACCTTTTCTCTGTTCTTTGCAATGAAAGGTGTGCAAAATGTGTAATTTTATAACAATTCAAATTCCGAGAAAAAAGCCAAAAATCAGAAAGTCATATGTTACTTTAAGTTATGATGGTCGCTGGTTTGGAAGTTCCATCAACTTGTTCATGTAACCCGCAATGTCTTTTGTATTGAAAAGATTTTGTACTTTGCAATTGATTGAGCTTAAATTTACTTCCTTAGTATGAAGATGAAGAAGCAGCAGAGGAGTTCAAAATTACCAGCTTTGTCGATATGGTGCGAGATTGTTACCGCATTAGAGTTCCATATAGCTTTCAGGGTAAAGACCAAGTTTATTTTCCAATGCTATGAACATAGTACAAAATTAGAAACAATTAAGCAAGCCGCACAAGCATTTCTCTTTTTAGTCTATTTTATTACTCTTGATCTTTTCAAGTCCTTTTTTTGCTACCCTGCTAAATAAAATGCTTTGAGCAAACATGTTTAGGCTAGGGGTTTGAACAAATTGTTTTTAGCTTTCTTTAGGTTTTAGCTTGTACATATTCCATCTCTACTGTTAGTCAAGAGACTGTTGTAAATCTGACCCGTTTGGAATTCTGGATGAATTTTGATGAATGCTTCCTTTCCCTCAGTTCAGATTTTTAATTTGTTTTGCTGAACTTCACTTTCTCTTGATCCAAATGATTATCTTTAAATTTGTATAGTTTTGATGTTCCCATGAAACAGTCAGATTGCTTTGTTGCTACTTCATACTTTAATGTATTGATGTATATGTGAGAATTTCAAGTTGAACGTACGAACTAGTGTCACTTGAGCCTACTCTGCACTTTGATCATGGCTGATCTCATCTCTGCCTCAACTTCATTTTTCTGCCTGATCTCCCAAAATCCTTTAACATGTTGCGAACTAAAATTTATTCAATGTCCCAGCATTCACTGCAGTCTGGTGTAGTGAATTCCACATTTTCATGATCCTCTGAGGTAATAATTTGTTCTCCGAGATAGTAGGAACTGCCAATGCTGGAGAATCTGAGATAACAAGGTGTAGAGCTGGATGAACACAGCAGGCCAAGCAGCATCAGAGGAGTAGGAAAGCTGACGTTTCGGGTCGAGACCCTTCTTCAGAAATGGGGGAGGGGAAGGGGATTCTGAAATAAATAGGGAGAGAGGGGGAGGCGGATAGAAGATGGATAGAGGAGCAGATAGTGGCGAGGAGACAGACCGGTCAAAGAGGCGGGGGTGGAGCCAGTAAAGGTGAGTGTAGGCGGGGAGTTAGGGTGGGGATAGGTTGGTCCATGGAGGATGGACAAGTCAAGGAGGTGGGATGAGGCTAGTAGGTCGGAGATAGGGGTGGGGCTTGAGGTGGGAGGAGTGGATAGGCGGGAGGAAGGATGGACAAGTTAGGGAGGCACAGTTGTAGTATGGCGCACTGACCTCTACATCGCCGAGACCAGATGCCAGCTGTTTGACACCTCCTCCTACCGCCTCCTTGATCATGACCCCACCACTGACCACCAAAACATCATCTTCCAAACCATCCACAACCTCATTACTTCAGGTGACCTCCCACTCACAGCCTCCAACCTCATAGTTCCCTAACCCCGCACCACCCGTTTCTATCTCCTTCCCAAAATCCACAAACCTGACTGCCCTGGTCGACCCATTGTTTCCGCCTGCTCCTGCCCCACCGAACTCGTCTCCACTTATCTCAACTCCATTTTCTCCCCTTTGGTCCAGGAACTCCCCACCTAGGCCCGTGACACCACCCACGCCCTCCACCTCCTGCAAAACTTCAGATTCCCTCGTCCCCAACACCACCTCTTTACGTCCATTCCCTATACTGTTGCATTCCCCATGCAGATGGCCTAAAGGCCCTCTGCTTCTTCCTGTCCTGCAGGCCGAACCGGTCCCCCTCCACTGACACCCTCCTCCGCTTAGCTGAACTCGTCCTCACCCTTAACAACTTCTCCTTCAATTCCTCCCACTTCCTACAGACAAAGCGGGTGGCCATGGGTACCTGCATGGGCCCAAGCTATGCCTCCCTCTTTGTAGGATACGTGGAACAATTCCTCTTCCGAAGCTAAACTGGCACTATCCCCCACCTCTTCCTCCGTTACATCGATGACTGTATCGGCACCGCCTCGTGCTCCCACAAAGAGTTTGAACGGTTCATCCACTTCACTAACACCTTCCACGCCAACCTTAAATTCACCTGGACCATCTCCGATAACACTCTCTCTCCTTCCTGGACCCCTCTGTTTCCATCTCTGGCAACCACCTGGAAACCGATTATCCATTTCAAGCCTACCGACTCCCACAGCTACCTTGAATACACCTCCTCTCGCCTACTTTCCTGCAAAAAGCCCATCCCCTATTCCCAATTCCTTCGCCTCCGCTGCATCTGCTCCCGAGATGAGGCATTCCACTCCCGGAGATCCCAGATTTCCTCGTTTTTCAAGGACCGCAACTTCCCCTCCACATTGGTCGAAAACGCCCTTTACCGTGTCTCTCGCATTTCCCGCAACTCATCCCTCACACCCCTCCCCGCAATAACAACCAAAACAGAATCCCCCTCGTTCTCACGTACCACCCCACCAACCTCCAGATCCAACACATCATCCTCCAACACTTCCGCCATCTGCAATCTGACCCCACCACCAAAGACATTTTTTCCCTGCCCACCCTTATCTGCCTTCCAGAGGGACCACTCTCTCCGTGAATCCCTTGTCAGCTCCACACTCCCCACAAGTCCCACCACCCCCGGCACTTTTTTCCCTGCAACCGGAGCAAGTGCTACACCTGCCCCTACACCTCTCCCCTCACCCCCCATCCCAGGCCCTAAGAAGACTTTCCACATCAAGCAGATGTTCACCTGCACATCTGCTAATGTGGTATACTGTATCCGCTGTTCCCGTTGTGGCCTCCTCTACATCGGGGAAACCAAGCGGATGCTTGGGGACCGCTTTGCGGAACACCTACGCTCGGTTCGCAACAACCAACT